CCCACCATCCCTCCCGTCATTCATATCTGATTTGCCATGATCACCTTTAGTCCTTTATCCCCGACATGAAATTTCCAGTATCGATTAACTGTTAAAAACTACCTAACACTACAAAGTCATGCAGACAAAGCATAATTAAGACCAGATGACCTTTATGATAAAAACCTTCTAAGAAAAAATAAGAACACATACCATTTTTGGTTCCAAGACTAACAGGCGGCATACATTTTTGGTCCATGACTTTCATTTTTTCCCTTTTAGGCATGGCTAAAGATTTTTTCACCACTTTGGGGTCTCTCGGATCACTTATCTAGATAAAATCAGTGAAGTAGTTGAAATTTGCAAGATAAGTGATCGTAATGACCAAAAGTAACAAGAAAATCATTGTTTTGAACCAAAAGTGAAAAAACAGAAGTTGGGGACCAAAAGTGAGAGTCCTCCAATAGTTCTGGGGGTAAATCTTTTCCACTTACTAAAAATATCATGAGATGACAAAGAATTGAGATAGAGAATCCATAGCCTATAGTCATGTACTATTGCACAAATGATACAAATTCAATAATTTTATCATTAGTATGACGGTACATTTGTTTATTCGCTGTTTTAACCTTTTCATTCCCACATATCTGTCTCTGATGCAACATATGCGAGATAAAATAACTAAGAAATCTGAGTCAATGATTTTAATATGACAACAAGAAGCATCTCTATACAGACCTGGGTTTCAGGACTCATTTGATCAACGAGGAGTTCTGATATAAAAATTCTTGGCAAGGGCCCACCAACACAAGTTCCGCTCTCGAACTGCAATGACTTAGGTGGGGAGAACCAAAAAGCTTTCAACTTCTTTGCAGGGAACCTCAGCTCTTCCCGTCTCATGTAACCGAAGTCCAAGAAGAATTTAGCCACGGAATCAATTCCATGCCCATTTACCTGTAAATTAGTTGAAAACAAACCTGAATGTTCTTCATCATAATTGCCAACTGATGATTTAATGTAATATCTAGTAAGGGGAAAAGCCCCATCCAGTAAGTACCTGATTGATCCTGTTATAGTATCTCTCATTGTAAAATCTACCCATTTAAGGGTTGGATTACTAGCATTATTGCTTAAGTAGCTCACTCTTATAAGTTGTACGGTTTTTGGGATTATTTAAATTAAAATGTGAAATGGGAATTGATAGTTTTTGAGAGTGTGATATGCAAAAAATGGTCGAGGGTAGAGCTAACACTATAAAGGTATTACATGCATCTCACAGACAATGTGTCAAATTAAAATTCTAAGAAAAAGAAAATAATGAAATGGTATTCAAGGGGAGACTCAAACCAATTTTATTTTGAGGGTTAAGCGGATTTTGCTATAACTATTTTTAACTAAAACATTAATAAGCATACTAATGAAGCAAAAAAACGACAAACTCGGTAAACCAGAAGAGATTTCCCCCCTCCCAAACACATGCTTTCATCAAAATTGAATGCTCATATAATGTACTCGTATATAGTATGATCAGCTTAAAGAAATCAACAGATTAAGGAACTTAAGTAGAACCATTACCCTGAAAGTCCTGAATGCAAAATGGTCATAGCAAATCTGACCTCCATCGGCAGCTCGGACGTGCTCCAGGATGGCCTTCGCGGTAGGGTTTCTGTTCAGATAAACTTCCTCCATTCTACCCAAAACGCGCCTGAAGAAAGACTCACTTCCCTAAGTACTCGCAATATATATATTACACAGTCAATAAGCATCCAATAACTTCCCCAATTTCACAAGCACAAACACGAGAACTCATAAATTAGTCAACAGATTTCAGTAGAAATTAAAGACCATGTGTTATAATGGACACCTGAAAGGTAGAATCTACGGAGCCATTTCCGCGACGGGTGGAGGAAGCAGAGAGACTGGAGAAGCGATTGGCGGCTCGGTTGGAAACGGGAGCTTCCATGCGAGGAGGAGGAGCTCTGGAGGAGATTAGGGTATTGGGGAGCTGAAAGAGGAGAGGTTTAGGAGGAAAGTTTGGGGGTTTGAGGAAAGAAGATGAAGAAGATGAATGCAAAGAAAGCAAAGGGGAATGGGTTCTGATCATTCTTCTTCCTATGCAATGATTTTTGGTCGAACCTGGAAACAGTTTCCTTTCAAATTTCAATGATACAAGAGATATACCAGAAAGTAATGTGACCGTACACTCCTTTGTAGGGGTGGGCGCGGTCCGTATGGTGATACTACCGGAACAACCGCTATTATTTAAACGGTTCGGTATCGGTATGGGATGAACTCCAAAACCATTCGGTACCATTCCGTTTTGAAACGGAACGGTACAATACCATACCCATGCTCAAACCGTGCAAAAAAAAATGAATGTACATTACGTAAAGAATATTAAATTTAATGTATAAATATGTATAAAAAAGCACAAGAATGTTAAATAAAAATATTGATCTCGAATTTAAATGAAACATAAACATAAAGAAATAAAAGATAACGAGTCTAAAGTTAAAAAATAATTTTTTTCCAATTCATATAATATCGCAATACTATTAACTATAAACAAAATAATGCCAATAGTAATAATAACTATAATAACAACAATAATAATGAGAGAGTTTAAAAATGAATAATAAAATACGAAGTACTCTATACACGGTAAGATGAAATAGACACATACTCCATAATTATTAGAGATATGTACTCCGTATATAGCATTGGCGGTTCGGTCCGTGATAATCGGTTTTAAACATTTGTATCACGGTCCCGTCCCATTTGGTATCGGTTCGTTTTCGGTTCGTGATGAAAAAAATTAATCCCGTTTAAAAACATTATAAACGGTTCGGTACCATTACGGTCCGGTACGGTACCATGCTAGTTCGGTTTTTTTGCCCACCCCTACTCCTTTGATCTTGAGAAAAAAATTGTTTTGGTGTGACCCGAGTTTGGTTAGAATTTGTAGGTTCTTACATTTAAAAAAAATCATAAGCTCTTATATTTTGTCGTAAAGACTGAATCGGGTCTCATAGCATCTGGTTAAATTCACTTCAGGCTGTTTCAGGTGTTTGGGTTTAATTTGATTCTTTAGTTTTCGGGTTATTCTAGATTCGATTCTGAATTATTCGGTTGGAATTATTAGATCCGTGTCAATTTTGGGAGGTCTATAAGTAACTCACCAAAAATGTGATCATTTCAAAGTATGAAAAACAAAAAACTTTATAAAAGTATGAAAAACAAAAAACTTTATAAAATAGATGTCTAGATTTAAATTAAAATATAGGATTACATCTACAATCAACATTCTCTGATCTATGAAAAAAAGTTCCTTTCATCCTAATATATTTATCCAAATAATAAATTATACTCCGTATAAATTTTGATTATCAATTAAAAATATTACATTTATATTAATAAAACAAAATTATTGTTTGAAAATATTTTACAAGACATCTAATTAAATTATTTTGTACTAATATGTACTAGTAATATGATTTTATTTAATTGATGACTCTAGAAATGCAAACTCACTACGAATATACTGTGACGAAGATAACATGCAAACACAATTTTTCTTTTGATGTTTGACAGATTTACTCTGGTAATTTTTCTTTTCAATTATATCATTAGCGTTGAAAAAAATAGAGACAACATACTAATTAAATAATTTGTTATATCAATGCAAAATGAATTAAAATAGATTGAAATGACTTTATTTGGGTATATTAGTCATTATATTCAAAAGTGGAAATGTTTTCTCAAAAATAAAATAAATTAAAAAGAAAGTATTTTAAAAAACAAAAACAATATACTTGAGTTAGTGTTAAAAAACATGTACTTAATAGATGGTCATATTTACTAATCAAAAACTCAAATTAAATTAAACGGATTATAATATAATGCATAACATTTAGGAATATGGCATGTTGGGTGACACCATTCAATTGAAAATGGTGGCTAAATATTGTTACTGCTTTAATTTGCTAGCTATCACCCGTTAATTACTCATTAATTATTGACCCTCCACCTTTCCCGCCATAACATTTCATCCCATCCTCAAAAAATGTTTTGTGGCATTAGTTAATCCCCTTTCCTAATCACCATCCACCCCTATGTATATATATGTCTAATTAACCTCTTTGGTTGAGTTTCCTAATGTTTGGAAGCTCATTTGGGCTTTCCCAAGAGATATATATACACATTCAATATATGTGTATATATATCGTTAATAATTAACTTGTTCATAGTCCCCATTAATAATATTAATATTAATAACTAACCTTGATTGCTGCCTTCCCGGCCGACATGGGGGCGGCATTATTGAGGCAGCAAATATGGTTGTTGATCGTTCTTGCGGCGGGCATCGCTATCGTGCACGCTGACATAGCAGAGTACGATGAGTTCTTGAAGAAGAGAGCAGAAGAAGCCTTCCATTCCTCCCTCCAAGCTTACAATGCCAACCCCGAACAAGTCGCAGATTATTTCAATGCTGAAGTTGGAGAGTAAGGCTCTTAATTAGATATGATTTAAAAAAAATTAAGGCCCAATTTGATCTAATTATGATAAGAATAAAAAATAGATATAAAAGTTGTGCTTGTTTTCAACACAATTGATGATTTTGTTTCTTTGAAAAAATAAAAGATCTCCATCTACTAAAAATATGAAAAAGTCAATATTTTACTTGTGAATTTTAAGATCATTAAACTACAAACACTTAGTTGATCAACTCATTCTATTTTTAAAATTTGTTAAAAGACTATAGTCTTTGTTTTGTTTATAAAATGTTATAGATACTATATAAAATACTTGTATTGTCAAATCTAGTGTCATCATTTGACGCCACAAATGACAATTATCTCTAAATTCATTTAAATATATTATCTCCGTCTTGAGTGTTTGTCCATATTTGAATTTTTGCAGTTAAAATTAACAAAATTTTAACCATAAATTAAATAAAATGGATAATGGATGTTGATATGAAAATAATTTCATTAAATTTATTTTGTTAAATATTTTCATGATATAGTTTTATTTTATTCATAACACATATAATTTTTATTTAATTATAAGTAGGCAAACACAATACTACATTAGTGCAACATTGTCATGCATATATTCCTACATGGTTTGCAGCACATTAAAGAATTTGTCTATCGCCAAAAGAAGGAACCTCAAGGAAGGTGGGAGCAGCTGCCAGGCGACCAATCCCATAGACCGCTGCTGGAGGTGCGACCCAAACTGGGCTATGAACAGGAAGCGGCTAGCCGACTGCGCCCGCGGCTTCGGTCGCGGTACAACGGGGGGCAAAGGCGGTCAGATATATGTCGTCACGGACGCTTCGGACGGGGACGTGGAAGACCCGAAGCCCGGAACTCTCCGGCACGCAGTGATTCAGGAGGAGCCATTGTGGATCGTCTTCGCGAAATCGATGGTCATCACACTCAAGCAAGAGTTGATGATAAACCATAACAAGACGATCGACGGGCGGGGCGCGTCGGTGCACATCGCTTACGGGGCAGGGCTCACCATCCAGTTCGTGCAAAATGTGATCATCCACAACATCCGGATCCATCACATTTTGCCCAAGATGGGTGGGATGATCAGAGACTCGACGTCTCATATCGGTCTCAGAACGATGAGCGATGGAGATGCCATCTCCATCTTCGGGTCGAGCCATATATGGATCGATCACGTGAGTATGGCCAGAGCCAGTGATGGCCTCATTGACGCCATCATGGGCTCCACTGCCATCACCATCTCCAATTGCAAGTTCAATAAGCACAATGACGTACGTATATTAAAGAAATATTTGCACTAAATAGCACTAAACTTAAGTCATTTTCTTAAATAGCACTTAAATTGTTTTATTCCCTAAATAGCACTTAATAATATCCAGAAGTGTGTATAATGTCCAGTGATGACAAACATTTACTTGAATAATGACTAATGGATAATGACTAAAAGTGCTACATTGAGAAAAACACATATAATCTTATTTAGAAAAATTCATTATATTTTAGTGATATTTAAGTAAATTTCCTATATTAAACCCAACCCATTACTTTGTCTAGACCAAAAAAATGTGTAATAACCTAAACCCACCTCGGGTGTCTGGGACCATTCGAGGGTCTTATAGTAAAAAGGATGACACCTCATCCTCGAGCGAGGTCTTATATAACGTCGTTCTTTTTTACAGGTGATGTTGTTGGGGGCGAGCGATGCATTCTCGGAGGACGCCATAATGCAAGTGACGGTTGCGTTCAACCGATTCGGGAGGGGGTTGATCCAGAGGATGCCTAGGTGTCGGTGGGGGTTCTTCCATGTCGTCAACAACGACTACGCTCAATGGGAGATGTACGCCATCGGCGGGAGCTCGAGCCCCACCATCGTCAGCCAGGGCAACCGCTTCAAGGCGTCTAACAATCCGTTCACTAAGGAGGTGACAAAAAGAGATTATGCTCCAGAGAGTGTGTGGAGTAATTGGCAGTGGAGATCGGAGGGGGATCTGTTCTTGAACGGTGCTTACTTTGTGGAGTCAGGGGAGGAGCTGAAGGTAACCCCGTTGACGCAGAGCAGCAAAATCAAGTACAAGCCCGGCTCTTATGTTGGGCGGCTCACACGTAAGGCCGGTACCCTAAGGTGCAAGGTCGGACGTCCTTGCTAAACTAGCCCCCACCCCTCGGGCTCATCCCCGTGGCAACAACAATTGTGATTAGCGTTTGAGTTTTGGATAATTTTCTGACCGAATTTGTTTTTTTTTTAATTCAAAAAAAAAAACTGATTGCAATTCCAAAGTGTTCAAGTTATTGCAGAAATTGAGATCATTGTAATACTGACAATCATCGAAAATGTATATTTACACATGTATAGAACGCCTAACTATGAGCAATTAGTGTTGGAGTTCCTCGGAAATGAAGAAGAATAACACTAGCATATATAGAAGGGTGAAAGTTTATCTATTAGCTTAAGCTTTTGGATTAAAATAATTGATCCCGACTTTATATGAAAATGATTAATTTTATCCGGCACTCCACCCTTGTTCTTTAACCACTGAAACTTTAACGGTTAACTAAGTGCATTTACATAAAATACGTATTATTTGCTAATATTATACCTCCCTGGCTCCCTCAAATTGGCATGTGAAGGTCATGAATTATCAATTTGGACGATAAAAAATCAATAGTAAGTCTCGACAAAGCTTTAGTAAACAAATCTGCAAGTTGAAGTCATGTAGGAAATAAACATTAGGTGTCTCTTGGTATTGGATATCTACACGAAAAATATGACAATTAATACAAATATGTTTCATTCGTTCTTCAAACAATGAGTTTAATTTGTTGCGATGAATATAACATACTGGTTATCACAAAATAAGCATAGAAGATGAAGTTGAGGGATGTCAAGTGCCCTAAAACCTCATGTGTAACCAATGAACCTCGACACATGCATTAGCCATGATAAAATATTCTGCTTCAAATTGTAGTATGCTTTTTAATCTTTCATCAGGTGACAAATTTAAAGTACCACTAAAGACTAATGTATCATAGAGTAACTTGTCTAATTAAAGCCACAATAGACAAAGACCTTCAAATTATTGTCACTTCAAAGAAAATTACCTTGTCCTAAATGTCCTTTAAGGTAGCATAAAGCTTGGATAGCGATCACCATATGATCACTTGGCAAAATACTAGTTGAGTGAGAGAAAGACCCTCGAGTTCTCAACACTGAGTTGACCTTTCGTAAGCAGTGGACACATAATTTAGATATACTCGTTCATTTTTTGTTAAATTAAAAATGATAAGTACAAGAAAAATAAAAAGTACATACAAATAAATTAAAATTTTTCGTTATAAAGAAAATAACAAAAATCAATGTACATCATTCCGACATCAATACTGAAAGTTGTATGCAATATTTCTGAATTTTTTACATGAAAAGTATAAAATGAAAAAGTATAATATGCATCTTTCAACCAAAGGAGTAAAAAACTAAATAAATAAGGCGCTATTTGTAGATTTTTTTTCAAAAACTTGATAGGAATCATCTCACTAATCTAAAAATGCATAAACAATTTAAGAGTTTTTTCCCAATTTTTTTCCATATTCAGGAAAGCGATAAATAAGTGTATACAATTTATAGATAAACAAGTATGATATAAGGAGTAATATTTTGTCTCATTCCTTAGCTTCGACCACCTACGGACAATCTAATATATTGTACTTGAATTTTTAACTGATAATATTTGTTTCATTTCAGATGTAGTGATATATATTTGCTTTTTAAAAAAGGTACAATCAATTATTAATTAAATTATCATTCATTAAAATTTTAAATAAATTTTAAATTAAAATAAACAAATTCAAATACTCCCTCCGTCCCAGAGTATTTTTCCACTTTCATTTTTGCACACCATCCAATGCACATCTTTAATCCATTTTATCTTGTAATTTGTATATTAAAAAATTATAGAAATTATATATTAATAATCTATATGTTAAGACAAATCAAACAATATCACACATGACTATATTTAGGCTTACACGTTTAGAGAATTTAATGAGTCAAAGTACTTAGATGAACAGTTCCAAAAGTTAAAAGTGGACGAATATAACGAGACGGAGGCAGTAATTATAAATACATAAATGTGCAAAAAAAACAAACGAAAGTTGCATTAAATTGGATTTTGAAATTGGGCTGCAAAAATAGGGCATTGGGCGATTCAGCAAAAGAATCAAAATCAATTTTCTTTTACCGCATTGGGCCGCATATCACCTTTCCCGCTTTCCGGAACCCCGTAGGACTGAGTTCCCAGACCCGCAGTGGGCAGACGTCCGCCGTCCGCCTCAGTGCACCGCCGTCCGCCGCCTCAGTGCATTGTTGTTCTCCGGCAATGGATTCTTAGAGCACAGACCCGAAGAGGACACTGGTTTCTGCGTTTCACAGAGTTGGGAGAGGATGAGGGTTGGCGCAGAGGACCCTGGTCATCGGGGAGTGACGTCGGCGGTTCACCGGTTCCGGGATTGAGGTAATTAGGGTTGGAGTTCAGCGAAGGATTGAAGGAAGTTAACGTTTTTTCAGCCAGGACTGGCATGTCCGTGCTCCACGGCTGCTACGCATTGCAGCGAAAATTGCAGGTTTATGCCGCGGCTGGATGTATCAAGAGAGCAATCAAGGCATTGAATTCAATGAGGTGCGTCTCCGGATACCCAACTATTCATGATTACAATTCCTTGATTTATTGCAATATGAAGTCGAAATTTGTGGCCGTAGATGATCTGCTAGAGATTTATTTGGGGATGAAGAGGTTTGGGCCTTCCCCTAATGCCGCGACATTCAACACCATGATGAACGGGCTGGTTTCATCAGGGAGGGTGAGAGATGCCATTCGGATAGCAGAGGATATGGGTGAAGTTGGATTCTTACCTTCATTTAGTATGTTGTCCAAGTTGTTGAAGAAATCTTTTGATTTCGGTAGCTTGGAGGATTCGTTTGGTGTTTTTGAGTTTATGTTGAAGCTGGGATTTGTTCCCACCCAGCCATGTTTGATGAAGTTATTTGTTGCTCTTTGTGAAGAAGATTCAAAGGTTCCTTCAGAAACAGCAGCTTCTCGTGTTCTTTCTGTTCTTATAAACAAAGAGGATTGTTTCCGAGATTCGCACGACTTTAATCCCATATTATGGGCATTGTGCAAGTCTAATCATATCGATAATGCTTTAGCATTTCTTTGCTTTTTGAAAAAGAAGGGATTTGAGTGTGACGTGTACTCGTACACTGCATTAGTTTATGGGTTTTGTAGGAAGAGGTCATGGAAGGAAGCATATGAGTGCTTGGATAAGATGGAAGCTGAAGGACACAATCCTAATGTGATAACATATACTATAGTTATTAAGTCCCTCTCTGATAATGAGAAAATTAAGGAATCGTTATACCTCTTGAAGGTGATGGAAGAAAAAAAGGGATGTAGTCCAGACATGGTTACATATAATGTCATATTATGGGCACTTTGCAAACACAAGAGGCATCGTTTCAATGTAGGAAAGCTTTTCCAAGTAATAGACCGAAAAGGATTAACTCCTGACAAATATACTTATGCTGCTATTGCGGTCGGCTTGTTGAAAAGGGGTAGACCGTGCGTTGCTGAAAGGCTTCTCCATCAAATTATTTCTTCAAGTTGCTGCTTTGTAGATATTGTGATTTATAATATATACTTGAATATTTTGTGTAGCTGTAATAAAACAAAAGAAGCTCTCTTTGCATTGGATAGCATGATTAGAACAGGCATTAAACCGACCATCGTGTCCTACAACACAATATTGATAGGAATATGCAATGAGAAACACATTCACGAAGCTATGGAAATTTTTGACCAGATAGGCTGGCCTGCTGATTTGGTGTCTTTCAATATACTGTTGGCTGCTGCATGTGAACAAGGAGATTCTACAGTAATAGAAAGGATCCTATACAGAATGGAACATGAAGGGTTTGAACTTGATGTGGTGAGTTCAACTTGTTTGATTTTGTACTTTTCCATGGCTCAAGAGTTCACACAATTTCTAAATTTTCTAGATAACTTCATTGGTAATGGCTCTCAAATTAGTATAAGGACTTTTAATGCCCTCATGAGCAGCCTTTGCCAGAAGAGATTAGCTGAACGGGCATACACTATATATACACGTTTTAGAAGTAATGGGATTTCACCGGATATCAAAACGTATGATATTCTTTTACGTGGTTTGATAAAAGAATGCAATTATTTTCTAGTAGATGAGTTGTTAAGGGATATGTGCAAGCAGAGATTGAAGCCAGATATTCTCACAAACAGGCATATGCGTAGACTTTGTAAAGAAGTCAACAGCTCTTCTTATGATCTCAAACTGAGGTATCATTTGCATGAAAATGGGATCAACCGAAACACCATCAAGTTGGATGATTCACTTAGCAGATGAACAATTTGGAAATCTCTCACTGTCAAATATTTTGGACAGGGATGGTTGAAAAAGATAGAAAATCTTAAAGGCATGATCCCAATTGGCGTAGCTATTGATAGACCTGGCAGTTGTAGAGTGTCTAAGGCCTAAAGTAGCAGGAAAGGACCTTTGGGCCATTTGACCTACCCTTGAAAAGAGCTCTTCCCTAAGTGACCTACAAACTTTAGGCTGGGTGTCCTTCAATATCTCAGGCTCAGGGCGGTGTAGGCCACAAAAATCTGGTACGCCCACGCCCCATATATGGGATTCAAGTTGTGGAATACCAACTGCAAGGTATGCTCATTATCCTATAGATAATTCTTGTAGTCATCTGCCAGTCTGTTACATGCTTCTCAACCCCCTTTGCTTTTAACATTGAAATTGTGGTAGCAAGAAATATTAATATAAGCCCGTATAAAACTTGTTCTGCAACCGATCCTTGTTTTATTGTAAACCAGCCTTGTATAAGCAAACAAAGCAGAAATTGAGCACAATTGAGTTCTAGATGTCTACTTATGAAGTTGGCTTTTAATAGTTCTTTTAGCTTACTTTTTTTTAAAAGCCCGTATAATTTCTGAAATTCGTTCTACGCTCAATACATATTGCTCTATTTAGGAGCTTAAAATTAAAGTTCATGTTAAATTGTGTTATAAAAGTCTGTTCTTGACCTGCATTTTCTTGGATCATCTATTGCAGGCCAAAGGTGCTTGCTGAATGTTGAAAATACTTCAGTTGGGTGGTTTGTCAGCTAAGTGAAGGGATCAACTTCAAGGGAGTTTCAAGGGAACATTTGATAAATTGTTATCCTTTCATTTCAATGATATAAATTTTAGTATCAATTTTCTAAATTTAAGGCAAATTAATTCTTTTATGTACTTATGGTCCGACCTTTATTAAAAATCAAATAAGCATTTGTTTACTACCGGAGTACTGAAATACCGGAGTAAGTATTTATAAATTCTTTTAAAAAGAAAAAAGAATGTCTAGTTCAATTTTAGATCCATAACAGAACATCTTTAAATTCAAAGATATAAGTTTGGTGAGAAGAAGACACGTGTTGGGAGAAAGACTAAAATAAGAATAAAATATATGGAGTAATCAAAATTGAATATCTTTGTTTTTGTTTCTAAAATAGAACCAATATGTTTTTTTTCATTTTTTAATACTCCGTACAATACAATTGTTGAGGATGAAAAAATAATGCATCTCATAATATTTTTTTAATTTTTACTTTTGTTAACATTAATAAATTGTAATTATACATTAAAAAGTCCGAACATTTTTCAAGTCGTTCATCACAAAACTGGCCTGAATAAAAATCAAAAGGATAATTTACTTAAATAGAGCTAAAACATAATGACTTTCTCAATATATGACCATATGTTTTTATTTTTCAATGTAGAACAATTAGTCATTATCTATTAGTCATTATTCAACTAAATGTCCAGAATTATTTGGACAGTATTCTTCTCACTAGCCATTTTAAGTCCTATTTAGAGAATAAAAAAATTTAAATTCTACATTGAGAAATGACTTATGTTTTAGTCCTGTTTTAGTCCTATTAAATGCAAATTTCACAAATCAAAACCTTATATTGCTCAATTTGTCCGGTTCAAAATTCGGGTTATTGTACCGAGAAACCCATGTCACTCAGCCAATGAGGTGCCACCTGTCGTGGACCCAAGCCAATCAAGGAACGCCGCGTGGATTCCCGACGTAGCAGAGCCCACACCCTCTTTCCTCATAAATCGTACAGCATCACCGGCACCGGTAGTTAAGGGAGAAAACCTGAAGAGCGATCCGTCTCGCTTCGATCCTCCGGCAAACAATCGGCGCTCTTTCGCCGGCAATCGTACTCCGGAGAGGTGTCTGCGAGGGAAAAACTTCGGGCGTTAGCCGTTAGGCGATTTCGGCGACATTATGGAAAGTCACGGTTCCGGATTCCGCCGCGTTCTCGTCCTAGCTTTCTGCGTCGCCGGCATTTGGTCTGCGTATATCTATCAAGGCGTTCTCCAGGAGACTGTGTAATCTTATTTTGATTTTGATGGATCTATTTGTTTTTTACTTCGGATCTTCATTTTGCTGAGATTCGTAAATGATTGCAATCCCATATGTGCGGTTATAACGCTTTGAATTTACTGTAGTGTTAAGTGATATATTTGAAATGAATGAAATGCTTCGTGACATTTCCAGCTTTCAGCTTCAGCTTTTGATTAGGCTAAATAAATTTTTACTGAATATCTGGCTGAATTATTTTTCACTGGCTTTCCTGGTAGGAAATTGGCATTTTTGCTCTAAGTATTAAAGTACAGCTTCTTCTTCATATATATGGTGCGAGAAACTAACTTTAATTTTGGTGCATAGATCAACGAAGCAATTTGGTCCGGACAAAAAGAGGTTTGAACATTTGGCTTTCTTGAACCTGGCGCAGAATGTGGTTTGCCTGATATGGTCTTTCTTAAGTAAGCGTCTTAGGATATTGTGCTCTGTTTTTCATCACTTCTTCCTCAGCTTTGTAATGGATTCAGTGTGGTTTTATGCAGTGATACAGATTTGGTCTAATGGGGGCAGTGGTGGTGCTCCCTGGTGGAGCTACTGGAGTGCTGGCATTACAAATACTATTGGTCCTGCAATGGGGATTGAAGCCCTAAAGTACATCAGCTACCCTGCACAGGCATGATCAGAATTTAACCATTTCTGTTTCCTTGTTTCAATGCTTTGTTATGAGCTGTTTAGAGAGTTCTCCTAAAATAACCTCTGTATTTACCTGATAAATTCATGCTTGGTTATATAAAAGTTATGCTAAGCTTGATTTAAGCTACTGTAAAGTTGATTTTTACTAACCTTGAATTTAGAAATTATCTTCCAGTGTTGATGTCTGCACACATACTAAGAAAGCAATAAAATTTTCTAAAATATATGAAAGCAGGACGATGTGACTAGTTTTTCTCTATTTATGTTTTAAAGTACTATTGAATACTCCATATATGTAGCATCGCATTTATAGACGTAGAATGGTTATGGTCGAAAATGCTATCTTGATATACTAAAGCAACTTGGATCTCAACCATACATAAGCTACATTTTAAGGAGTTAAAAAGAGTTTAGTTGAATTGAATTCATTTCTACTCCGTAGTAATTTGATACACGTACACCTATTGATCTATGTACTTACACTGTTTTCAAATTTATAGGTTTTGGCAAAATCTTCAAAAATGATTCCTGGTGAGCAACTCTTTCCGCGAAGAGTTTTAATTGTATTTTGGATTTTTATGCAGTTTGGACTAAAATGTTTCCTGTTATTTATACTTTTGGGCTGTTGTCAAACGGTCAAAGTCTCAAAATGTTTGGCCTCCCGAAAGTAGAATTGCTACTCCATATCTTATCCAAAACATCCCTTTGGCTTTAACATATATTTTAAGTGTTCAATCAAATGCTTTGCTGTATATGTTTTAATTAGAAGTTTACAACAAATCATCTATGTCCATTAGAAAAATTAGTGTTAGCTAAGCTATAATGTAGTTAATGGAGAATAAAAAGGAAGAACTCGTAATGTTTTAACCACAAGTGAATTACGTAGCATGAAACTTCTTTGTTTTGTTTCCTTTTGTATTGCTTGAAACTAGAAATTTCTCTAGGTGATATATCATTTGACATTCTCTTTGCAGTGATGCTAATGGGTACTCTCGTTTACGGCATAAGATATACCATTCCTGAGTATGTCTGTACACTACTTGTCGCTGGTGGAGTTTCCACTTTTGCACTTTCAAAGGTAAAATTTGACCTCATCTGTAGAGCATACTTTATGTTACTCTTCATGTTCTGATTTAGTTGTTTTTCATTCATGCATTCTTTACATGCTTCTTGTAGAAGCTTGGGGCTCAGGCAATATGATTTTTTCGTAGTGGCTCTGAATTTGGTAACTTGTTGGTTTATTTTCATTCTTTACAGACTAGCTCAAAAACTATAAGCAAGCTGGCACACCCAAATGCTCCACTTGGATATGGACTGTGTTTTTTGAATCTTGCATTTGATGGTTTCACCAATGCTACCCAGGATTCCATTGCACTAAGGTTAGTTACCTTTTTTTCAATGATAACTATTATTGTACCCCAACATCCTATGATTTTGTTGGCCCAACTTCCCCCCACCCCCACCGGTCAAGAATCTAACATAAAGATTGTGCTATCCCGAAATTACATTTTACTTATACAAACATTCTTGGTTATAATAGAAATACTGATAGTTGAGGTGGAGAAAAGGAAAGGGGGGTATTTGCCCCTCTATCCCAAATTTTTGTCTTTCTAGGAAATTTTACACAATTTAAGGAACCACATAAATAGTTAACAGTTTCTTTGTATTAATAATCATTAGAAAGCATCACATTTCTCTTGAAGTTTGTGCCTTTTAATATTAATATATGGAATTTTAAAGTATTTTGCAATCTAAGGGAGTGATGTAATAAATGTTGTTTCCAATACTCCTCTTGCAAATTGCAATTACTGATCATTTAACTTAACAAGATTAAACAAGGGAAAGATTTGGTGGAGAAAAGTGGAAATTACGTCTTGAATCCATCAAACACCATTACTCCTATTATTCTGGGACAAAAATGATTAACCTTTTGATACAAAAAGCTTTTGAAACCAACCATTTCAACCAATAAGTAACTCAAAACCTTATTTCTGCTTGTATTATTGACCACTACTTGTTCCCCTCAGATACCCCAAGACGAGCGCATGGGATATAATGCTGGGGATGAATTTATGGGGCACCATATACAACATGGTCTTCATGTTCGGTTGGTCATTGCGGTCGCCTATGCTCCGCCAGGTCAAGACGTCCGTCGTGGGTCTCCGCCGTACCCTGTAAGAGTACATGACAAACACGCCGCGGCACCCTGTCTTGAAGTAAAAGGACTGGTAATCGGCCAAGCCAAGAGACTGTTTGTGCTGGTATTGGTGCTGGGCGTTCAAACACTCGTAGCAGCAGAGGAGCAACGACTCGCGGAACCCGCTCTCCGGGAAACAGTGGTCGAGCGTCGCGATGGTCTTCTCGGGTTTGTCGTACCAAATTTACTTGAAGTGGATGAGACGACAGAAGTTGCAAAAGAAACGTAAGTCGACTTGATTTTCTTTCCTTCTGTTAGCTACTATAGAGAGAGAGAGAGAGAGAGCGGGGGGGGGGGAGTCTGCCACTGAGAATATGTAGTCTATAATATCTGATTCATAGAAGTTCTTTTAGGCTTTTTTTTCTTGTGTTATTGATGAAGAAGTCTTGTGATGCTTTTTGTATTAGAAAATCAAAGAAACCAAACATTTGACTTTCATTGTTGTGGAATTGAAGTGATCTTGTTATATATATATATATATATGGCTAGCTTGGTTATTAATTCATTGCTCATTTAATGCCCAATTCACCTAACAGTTTGTGTAATAACGGTTCGTTTCGCCACAGAGGTAAGTTTTGTTTTCACAAATGCATGACTTTTTTTCAAGTTTTGAAATTTCAGTAAAAGAGGTTGGTAAATTTTAAAACTATTTGCTGGTTTAACTATTTCATCTGTCCCTGGATGAATTTCACATTTTGATTTTCAATATTTGAGTGGGGTTATTTACTTATTTTTTTCCAATTAATTTAAATATCGTTGTGAAATTTTAAAAGAGTTTAAGTTGTTTTGACATTGATAAACAATGTTGTATTATTACATTGGTTCAATTGAGACCGCCACAATGCTTCAATCAAAAAATTGATGATTTTTACCTCATTTAATAGGCCGGGCTCGACCCTAATACATCCCCTCCAGTTAGAACCTATATTTTGTTGACTTTAGTGTCAATTTTTTTATTTCGAATTCAACAAAATTTGGAGGGAGTGCGTTAGAAAAGAGCCAACCTGGACGGCTTATCAGTCGTTAGAAGAGAATCATTATTTTATGGAGTATTGTAGGTATCCAATATCATAGTATGACATTTCGTTTTTCACTTTAGATAGTCAAATCATAAAATGTTTGATACTCCGTGGAAGAGATGATTAAGACATCAAGTGTTTGATAGAAGAGACGATTAACATAATCATCTTTTGCTTACAAAAATGATAGGGGAATCCCAAGCTTTTGACACCAAATGCACCCCAAGGCCAATACATGCACACACATACATGTAATATCTGTGTGTGCAGACATTAAATGTCTGAGTGTGTCCGTATTAGCCTTTGTGTACATTTGGTTTCAAAATCTCGAGATCTCCCTAACACTCCTCATTTGTTTAATACCTCGGTGAAAAATATAATTATCACTTAGAGCTTCGTTCAAATATAATGATCAATTAAGACAAATATACAAAAAATTACATACCATATTTAATATACTGTGTTCCAAATTAAGTTACATATTTATGGTTAATATTATCAAAGTTTAATTACTTGCCAATTTCACAAGTAATTTTTATTTTTCATTTCACACTAATTTTCAAATTAAATAAATTAAAAATAATTTCAATTAAATATCATAAATCAAAATGAATAATTTAAATTAAAATGGAGAGAGTACAAGGAAATGATTTTTTTTTGCAAAATAAATATAATGAATCGTTTTTGTACTAACAAGCAATGCAATTTATATTAAATTGATGATCATAGTTTATCCAATTTGACATAAAAAGATAAAATTGAACAAATGCTTTGAGATTTTGGGATTAGAGTAGTATTACTCATAGTTCAAATTATTTTGCTTCAAACTACATTAAAATGTAATTTTAATGCAGGGTACTAAATTACATAGGGAGTATTTGATACCATATGTTCATAGGAGACTATAATTGCTTTGAGATCATGGAAGTGAATAGGAGACTATAATTGCTTTGAGTATGTTTTAGAGATGCACTAACATTTGGACACAAACATAAAAACTCTTCACTTCATTTCCTTTTAACATCTCCAACTAAACCCTCTCCAACTCTGTGATGTGTTTATTCAATTGGTCACCCAATTGCTCCCTCCATTCTTGTATCAGCTTCTCTTGCTTCCGTATGAGTTCGGTTTTCGTCTTCAACTCTTCTTCCATGTTCGCAATCTCCTATAAACGTAAATTACATCAGCATATATATTGCAGTGGGTGTGAGGCAAGACGGGCTGAATGAGGACCGATACCTACGCCTAAGGGCGTGTTTGGTTGGAGGAAAGGGACCCCCATTTGGTTCAAGACATTTTTTAAGGTGAGACCCAAATTTCTGCCCATGCTACCCTCTCATCAATGTGTGAATGGGAGGAGAGGGGTGGAAAATTTTGGGTCTCACTTTAGAAAAATATTTTGAACCAAATGAGGCCGATGGTTGTCAAGTCGTCGCCTAGGCCACGACTAGTCGCCGACTAGTCGTCCGGGCGGTTTTGCCATGGAGATTTGCTGTACGACTAGCGCCTATGGCCGACTAGGCTATTAAGCGCGCTTAGCCGCGATTAGGCGACGCCTAATCGGTGAAAAAAATGGGCCAATTTTGACCTAATTCAATTGACCCGACCCGACCCGATCCAATCGGCAGTCTGGAGGTTCGCGACTCTAGGCTTCCCGTTCCCAGGTGACTTCCGCGACTTTCCAGCCAGCGACTCTTCTCCATCGATTCTCATCAGCCTCCAGCAGCAACTCTCCGTAAGATTTCTTTTACTTTGTTATCATTAAAGTATACTCTATTTGATTTAATTTTCATTGATTTGGTTCATTAAACTATAAAGTATAATATACTTTAAAATTTTCAGTTTTCTTCTATTTTTTTAATATTTCAGTTTTTTTTTCTGATTTCAGTTAATATTTTAATTTTTTTCATATTCTAGTATTTTAGTATTTCAGTTTTTTTTAGTTTAATATTTCAATTTTTTTTATTTTAGTTTTTTGATAACTCAAAACATGGAATTAACTATTTTAATATGTCCTTTGACTTCTTATTTGGTTAATTATCTTTCTTGGTGTGTTATTTTTTAAAGATTGAAGTATATTTGTTTGTTATGTACTCTTTGTTAAGTGACTTTATTTCCTATCTTTAAACATAAGTTTGCTTTGGAAATGGTGTTTTGACATATATATATATATATATATATATATATATATATATATATATATATATATATATATATATATATATATATATATATATATATACTGGGTTAATATAGATATATATATAATGTTAAAAATTTTAATACTAATTGTGATTTGTCGCCTAGTCTTCGACTAGTCTACGACTAGTCGCCTAGTCCACTAGTCTCCCTGTCACCGACTCGACTCGACTTGTCGACTTAACAACCATGCCGGCGGCGGCGGGATTATTGAGGCGGAGGAATCATTTTCCCTCGTCTCTCCTCCCCTCCAACCAAACACACCCGGTGGACGGAGCATGCGTGGTGTCAATTTATTTATTTTAAAAAAGGAGGAGAACTTCTGCCTTAGCACGGTATAGTTTTACCCTAATAAGTGACACTTCACCCCATGATTCATTTTCTTCATGCGATAATGCATCCCAAATTGGGTCTATTCACTTGAGCTTTGCAGCCAAGGCTTTACCAGAGTCTGGGGTGCATGATCAAAGTCATCAAAGGAAATGAATTGTGGGCTGTAAAGTCGAAATCTAAGACTAAAGAGCACATGTGACATAGATAGGTCGAAAGACTAAAGAAATGAAGCAAGTAAAAGAAAAACCTTTAAGGTAGAATAAGCAAATCACCTTTCTGAGAGTACTTGCTCTGCTTGGTTGATCCTCGCGTTGCAATCCAATAAAGAAAAGTTGAAGCTTTTTTGCCGCATCCATAAAATCTCTAGCATGCCTCTCTACATCAACTAGAGGAAACAGAAGAAGAGCCTTGGTTGAACATACGAAGTTGGAAAACAGTACTCACATCGCATGCCAAAAAAGTTATGTTTCAAAAGTTTTTTTTAAATCCCAAAAAAGAGATATTTCATCAAACTAATCTTACTTTTCACGTAATTTGCCAATAATTTGAACAGAGAAGTTAAAACCAAGCTAAATACAGTATGAAACATTTAGTTAAATAGACAAAAAAGTTTCAAAATATAAAAATGATTTCATGACTTCTATCAGCTGTATCTTGCCAAAATTTAAAAATTTTACATATTGTATTACGAAGAAAAACAAAGAAACACACAATCACACCCCTCAAACTTAATGCTCTTCATCAGAACTTCATTCAAATAAAGTTTAGTTCAAATTTCCATACAAAAACGAAACATTAAACCAACACATACTTATTCTACACTTCCATCGGGATTAAATAGCGCGAGAAGAAAAAGAAATACTGAGTATAAGAATATGGGTTAGAATTACAAACTCTGGTGATAAGGATGAGCAGAACGGTCAATTGCTTGGAGCTCTCTGGCAGGTAGGCAGGGAAGCAATGCAGCTTCTAGTGCAGAAACACAGGCGATCATATCGTCTTTCGGCAGAGGTGATTGTATCTGAGGATCAGCTGCATTCTGCTGATCAATGGCATGGCGCTCGGCCATTTCCTTTGTCTAAGGAATGATACTATTAATGTGGCTAGTACAGATCCTTCAACAGCAAGAATTCACATTCTTAGCCTTCAATCCATCACAATTTTAACTTACAGGTTACGAAAAAACAGTGTTTTAAGAAAGAGCAATTTCCACAAACAGTCCTCTATATTTAGGAACATTCCACAAAAAATTGTGCTTTCTTACTTTTCGTATTAAGGAAATGAATACGGCTCGTAATATTTGTTTCTCTATGAACAAATCTCAATCACACCCTTTTATTTTTATCGCTTTTCTTAAAATTTGTGAAGCACTGAAGCCAATATGTAGACTTCATGTTTGGATAGAGAGAGTAATATATCTTTACAAGTAGCAAGGCACACAAAAATTCTTCTTCTTCATGTTTTGTTATAGTTACCTCAAACTATAAAATTGCTAGACACTATGTTCTGCTCATAGACATTAATTCAACACATTTCTCTTACGTTGAGAACCTGAGATACATTATAGTTCTTTTCTTAAAATTTTCATTTGCAAATAGTACAATGTCTCTTATATTTTGTACTCCGCATATGACTTGTACGACTCAGCCTTTTTTCGTTTACCATTTTAACTGTTCTGCGGGATGAGCAAGAAGGTTCCGAAGCTTGGAAACTATGGACACAATAAAGAATGTAAGAAGGGCTTATTAATTTCCATTCAATTTTTTCACAATCTGGTACAAGCATTAATTTGAAGGATGTATGTTCATATTTCCGGTTACTTATCAAACAGAGCGGTTCCTTTGCATCCTCACTTGATTCGAGCTCTTTGAATCTTGACTTGTTTTTTTAAAAAATACTTTTGTATCC